CTGCAGAAGTTAGTTTCTGCAGCCAGTGCTGCTGGACAGAGAAAGGGCCATGGTATTGAAATGAGTAGCCCAAGGGCACAGGGACAAGTGGCTGCTCCGTCAGAGAAGCCTGGCCCCTGCCCAGGCGGGGCGTGGGCACGATGGGCGCCTGCTCCGGAGTAAGGTGGCATCTTCCCTCCTTCTTGTCACTGTGCCCCTGGAGAGGGTCAGATTTCAGAGTATCCGAGAGAGGCAGAGCTGGAGCCGGGGGAGCGAGGTCAGAAAGCAGGTTTCCCGTGAACTGGGGCACGAGCAAGTGACGAGAAAGGGGCCGTGGGGTAACCTGTGCGCGAGTGACAGCTGCGGGGACCCGCAGCGCTGACAGCGACGATGAGTACTAGGGAACCTGGGCGACAGCGGGCAAACATGTCAGCGACCCAGAAGCCGCGTCAATTTTCCTCCCCGCCCCCACGGGTGGCCGGGCCCCCACCGCCGCCCCAGGAAGCCGGGCGTCCCTCCCTCCAGCCTCGACTCTCGCCGCCCGTCCCCACTCACCGCCGTCGGCTTGGCCTGCGGCCCGGTGCCTCCCTNAGCTACTTCAAAGCATTCAGACGAATTTGACTGGAAAAGATGAGAAAGGCCTATAAACCAGAATAAACACATTGCCGTTAGAATCTGTTTATAATCTACAAATCACAATCATAATTCCTCATCACAACGATTCCATAAAGTCTTATGGACTTAAAAATATGCCACTCACTTACGGTCATAGGTGACAAACATTCCTTTAACATATACTTATTTTTTCCTATGTGCCAGGCACTGCAACCAAATGCTGGGAGTCAAAGATCCCAAAGGAACTGCCTGTGGATTTAAGGGCTCAATCTGTGGAAACAGGCATCAACGGATATTTGCAATAAAATGTAATGGAGGCTAAAATGGAGGCATATGCTTTGCACCAGGAGCAAAGAAGTGAACATGTATGGGAGGGAGATCAGAGAAGACCTCACAGAAGCTTTGACGCAGAAGAGTGGGGAGGGAATGTTCTAGACATGCAGTTGGGGGGGAGTGGTAAACCGGGATCTGTATTCAGGTGCTGGAACTAAGTCCATGGGTTCTTTTCATTTATGTTACCACTGGTGATAAATACAAGGTGTATTAATTGGGGTAGGCTAAAGATAGCAGTATCTCAGTGGTTTAACACAATAAATGCCTATGTTTTATACAAGTCACAGTGTGTAGTAGGTTGCTTGACGTCCGAGGGTGGGGTGTCTGCTTCTTGCAATCATGGAAGGACCAGGCTGCTTCTATCTTGTGGCCCCACCATCTCCTGTTGCCTTGGAATCACCCAGTCTATCGTCCTCAGATAAAGGAGAAGAGCTGTGAATGAGATATCAAGGGCCAGCCCTAGACATGGTGTACATATTTTCACCCTGTTCCCTTGGCCAGAATTCAGGTGTGTGGTCACATGGCCCTACCTAACTGCAGGGGTGGTTGGGAAGTAAAGTGTGTGTGCCTAGTAGAAAAGAAAATGGGGTTTGATGAACACCTAGCATTGCCTCTGCCACACAATATTGAATTGAACATAACCAAGTACCTAAACTTGACTTTATTTGAGAAGGATATCTGGGGAGAGCTGGCAGATAGATATAAGCAGCAGCATAGGCCCTCTTCTCTTCTTCTTTGGGAAATGAACTGGTGTGAGATGGTATCCAAAACAAACAAAACTAAGAAAAATAAGCTTTGACCTAATGGCACCATACTGAGTAATTAATATTTAATAAACATCTACTTTATGCCAGAACCTGTCCTAAACATCATTGGAGGAAAATGTGAAACATCTTTACATTATGCTTTTAATGTGTCATCTCTTTAGCTGTCAGTCAACAAACTGTGAGGTGTAGATATTACCTCAGCATGGGTTCAGGGGCATTAAGTGAGCCAAAAGGCAAAATTGGGAATTGAGCCCTGGCCTTAGATTTATAATCTGGTGCACCAGTCCCCAGAGTGGGACCTTACCTTTCACAGTAATATATGGACAAGTCCAAACTCCTATGTAATGTTTCAAGGTGGAGTAATTAAATATGCACTGAGTAGTAGGCAAATGATTCCATCTTTTTAAGACTTTCTGGTGGAACTGTTTCAAAATCAGCTTTGAAGGCAAAATGAAGGAAGAGCATCTTGGATAGACTGAGAAGGGAGAAATGCACATGCTGTGTGACATGCTGTCGGATGAAGAACAGAGCTGTAGGGTGTCTAGAGTAAAAACTGAAGTGGGGAAATTGATAGAAAGATTAGAATAGTGGGTCAAGGATTCTTATTTGCCATGTCAANTAGAGGAAAAAGTGAAGTGGGGAAACTGATAGAAAGATTAGAATAGTGGGTCAAGGATTCTTATTTGCCATGTCAAGTAATAGGGAGTCACCATATTTAGTGCTATAAGGAATATCACCATATTTAGTGATATACCTGATGGGTCTAATTATATCATTCTTAGTCCAGGGTTGCCCTGTTGACAGAGTTCAGAACAACAGAATGGGATGAGCTGGGCCCATAGCCAGATTCTAGCATGTGGAATACAGAGTTCCTTGGGACACAGCAGTCTTCTTTCTGGGGTTCAGGGTGAGCTCCCAGACACTTCAGATTCCAAGTTCTTTATAGGACTTCAAAAAACCTTAAGAGATTCAGTGTCTTAGACTCTTTGAATAAGAAAGTATAATGCACGTGTTCACCAATTTGGGATTCTGTTTTAAAAGCTCTTTAGTAGTCTGTTTTTTGTAATGAATTATCAGCTTGGCTTATAAAAGCCTATTTCTCCATAATGAAAACACACCTTCGATTGCTAATTAGAACCTAACCACATTGACCCTGCTTTCCTTCCATTCAAAGTTTTGAAGCTTGACATCAGAAATGAATTTTCTATCAACAGAGCGGTGGAAACTTTTGCTTCCTCTATGTCCATGACTATAAAGGAAAGAGGACAGTTGATGGAAGTCTCAGGTTAGGACTCCTGTGGAGAGATAGGGTAAGGGCCCCCTAGTCAGTAGTTAACAATTATAATATTTGTAGAACACTTTACAATGTACAAAGTACTTTTCTGTACATGTGAGCTTCACAACTCAAGGAGATAAATTATCTTTATCCCCAGTTTAATGTTACAGAAATAGTGGTTCAGACATTTAAAATTGTAGAACCTCTACTTTTTATTTCTATAATCTTGGGCAGATACATATACATAAAAGTGTTCCTTAATCAATAAAATGAATGTCACTATACCTACTTTGTTGGGTTGTCTTGAAGGTAAATGAAATTATGTAAATAAATACAGTAAAAATTCAATACATAGTAAAATACATAGTAAAAATTCAAAAAATGATAAGACCCAGGAATTGAAGCTGGATAATGGGTAAGAAGAGGGCTTTAGTAGGATGATGGTCAGTGCAAGGATGGGATGAAAGATAAATGTGCTCCTGAGTCTCAATGAGGAAGACACATAGGAATGGATGGAGCTGAAGATGCAGGTGGCAGAGTGGGGTGCTTCAACTGCAGATAGGGAGGAGTTGCAGTTGTTGGTAATAAGTAGGTATAGGGTATGACTATGAGAGTGAGTTTCTATGGTGGTGGAAAGGATCATTTAGGGTAAGAGAAAGTCAAGGAGCTGAGAGGCTAGGGTGTCAGGTGGGATAGTATTCAAAGTATTTACCTACTGGTAATAGCATAGACATGGATCCATCCAAATGAATGTAGGTTATAGTGCTGGTGCAGGGTCCTGGAGGCACCAGTGGCTGTGAAAATATTTCAGTATTTTAATAATCATACGTGTGCAATTTAACCCAAGGCATGAGATGGGTTGTCCACATGGATACTGAAGTCACCAGGAATGATGACGGGGTTATGGAGAGTGAAAGAGCAAGGCAGCTGAGGGAGTCTTCAGTGAAAGGAGTGACCAGGAGCATGGTGGGTGATAACAACAAGGCCGGGCAGTGTGTGGAATCCTTTGATGACATGTGCTTCAAAGTAGCAGGGTTTTATTTAGGGAGGAAGAAGGGAACTGGTACTTGAGGAAGCAATGAAGTGCAAAGAGAACACTTTACTTGTAACCTTAGGTGGTGTAAAGCACTAATTTTCATATATATATATATTTATTTGAATATATACATTATTTGAAAGTAATCATTTATATAATTGAAACAAAACTTCTATGAAACAATCCTCACCTTCACTACATGCAGTATATACTGATATTTTCTATTCTATTNCAATCATTTATATAATTGAAACAAAACTTCCATGAAATAATCCTCACCTTCACTACATGCAGTATATACTGATATTTTCTATTCTATTACTTTATTTTTAAAGTATTCTATTTACTACACACTAATGGGTTGTAATTTAATATTTGCAAAGCATTGGTATGTAAGTNTTATTTTTAAAGTATTCTATTTACTACACACTAATGGGTTGTAATTTAATGTTTGCAAAGCATTGGTATGTAAGTGGTGGGAGAAAAAATATTCACAGGGCTGCAAGGGAAGTGTGCTTGGTCCTCAAGGCATAACCAGGTTTCAGTGAGCTAAAGGAGGTGAAAGAAACATCTGTCAACGAGGTTGAAGGATNATTTGCAAAGCATTGGTATGTAAGTTGTAGGAGAAAAAATATTCACCCCTAGACAGGGCTGCCAGGGAAGTGTCCTTGATCCTCAAGGCATAACCAAGTTTCATTGAGATAAAGGAGGTGAAAGAAACATCTGTCAACGAGGTTGAAGGATATAGGAGTGTCTTAGTTTGTTCGGGCTGCTGTAATGAAATACCAGAGACTGGGTGCCTTATAAACACTGAACATTTAATTCTCACAGTTCTGGAGGCTGAGAAGTCTAAGATCAAGGCACTGACAGATTCAGTCTGATGAGAACCTGCTTTCTGGTGTCTTCTCACTGTGTCCTCACATGGTGGAAGGGGGAGGGAACTCTCTGGATCTCTTTTATGAGGTCACTAATCCCATTCTCGAGGGCTTTGCCTTTAAGATTTAATCACCTCCCGAAGGCCCCACCTCCAAATACCATCACATCGAGGGGTAGGTTTCAACATATGAATTTGGGGGGTGGTGGGGGCACACAAACAGTCTATAGCAAGGGGTTTTGTAAAGGACAAACCCTGAATTCCAGAGGTNCGTGGGGGCACACAAACAGTCAGTCTATAGCAAGGGGTTTTGTAAAGGACAAACCCTGAATTCCAGAGGTCTCAGTGGAAGGTGTTAGAAGCTGTTTGGGGAGTTAGATTCAAACTAGGCAGTGTAGTGGACTAGATGGGGTAAGAATCTCTATGATGAGGAGTGATGTGGAGGCAAAGGATTCCTGTGGTGAGTATCTTAAGCGGAGATATAGGGCATGCTG